TTTATAAAATATTTGAATCCTTTGCAGTTTTCAGCTTTTAGGTTTCAAATCAGCAGTAGTTAAGAGTTTTTGGTCTAAAATTTTCAGTTTTGGGACACTTCAAAGTGCTTCAGATGCCTCAAAAAGTTTTCAGTGCTGAGTTCTTAGGATTCTCAGTCTTAAGTTTAAAAATATTTACAATCATCAGCAATTTAAACTACAAGTCGAAGTAGGCACTAGCTGACGTCACACACATAACCTTACAATGACATTTTTGTCCCTAAACTAATGAGAATAACTCACATTTGAGTGAGTCAGGTTAGTTTCGTAATTAAACGACATATTGATGAAGGGATGGCTGCGGAACTCGCTGCGCTCGTCCCGCAAAGGTCCACCCGTATATTTCGCAACAATTCACTCATTTGTACTTGAATAACTTGTTACATTATGTTACTAGTTTCTTAAAGTAACATAACTTCCTCGGTTTTAGATAAATCAGGTGGTGCTCGTTACCTTAGTTTCTTGGACATAAAAAGTGCCTATTGGCAAGTAGAACTTGAAGATTCCAGGAAGCAATATACTGCCTTTACAGTTCCGGGGTGAAGTATTTTCTAATTTACCAAATTACCTTTTGGGTTGCACAACGCTCCTGCAACATTTCCGCGTCTTATCGATATAATTTTAGCCCCAGTACTAAGTCCTTAAGTGTTTTGCTGTCTGGATCATCTGGGACATAATCTGTGTCTCACCTGACGCATTTGGAAAACTAGCAGAAGATATTTGATCATTTTAGAATCCGCAGGACTCATACTCAATAAAGAAAAGATAAGAGCAACTTTTGTCGTATTTTGGTTATGTGGTAAATAGTTTCGTCGGAATTCATAGAAGGTTGGGGGCGTTGGGGCAACTACTGACTTGGTCACTCCCGAAAACGTACGAAGTGTGCGAAGCATATTTAGCATGAATTCTTGGCATAGGAGGTTTGTTCCTTATTTCTGTGACCTAATGAGCCGAAATTTTCAGGGATTGTAGTGAGTGCCCTAAGACCCTACCTCTTGAAAGGCAAATTGACAAAAAGTGAATAATCTTACAAATTTTGACTTTATAACATAAGTTATCGTTCAAGTACAAATAAGTGGATTATTGCGGAACTTATGGGCGGACCTCTGTGGGACGAGCGCAGCGAGTTCCGCAGCCATCTACTCACCAATATACTGTTGGATTGTTCAAGTAAGACATTCACCTAAAACGTGTAATTTTCAAACTAATGAGAATAACTCACATTTGAGTGAGTCAGGTTAGTTTCGTAATTAAACAACATATTGATGAATAGATGGTTGTGCGAGCGCACTCATTTGTACTTGAATAACTTGTCACATTATGTTACTAGTTTGGTAAAGTAACATTACTAATTCCTGTTGGAAGGTAAATTGACAAAAAGTGAATAATCTTACAAATTTTGACTTTATATAATAAGTTATTGTAGTACAAATAAGTTGTTTATTACGGAACTTTTGGGTGGACCTCTGTGCGACTAGCGCAGCGAGTTCCGCAGCCATCTACTCACCAATATACTGTTGAACTATTCAAATAAGACACTCACATGAAACGTGAAGTTTTTGAACTAATGAGAATAACTTACATTTGAGTGAGTCAGGTTAGTATCGTAATTGAACAACGTATTAATGAATAGATGACTGCGGGACGAGCGAAATGGATGTCCCTGTATATTATGACATGTCTGGGTTCTGCGGAAAATTCTAGACATATTTCGTGTACAATGTTATTTACCTATCTTCAACTGTTTCGGAATTATTGACAGTTGAAAATAGACTTTTTCCCAACTTTGACAGACTTCAAAAAAACAATTTTTTTGATATTTTCTGAAAAACGAAAAGAGATAAACATATTCAGCTTCAATGCAAAAAAAAGAGACGGCCGTAGAGCTATAACATTTGCTACATTTTATTCATATGACTGAATTTGGGACACATCAAAGTGTTTAGATGCCTCAAAAACTTTAAGTTTTCAGTGCTGAGTCCTTAGGATTCTCAGTCTTAAGTTCAAAAATATTTACAATCATTAGCAATTTAAACTACAAGTCGAAGTAGGCAATAGCTGACGTCACACACATAACCTTACAATGACATTTTTGTCCCCCTATCGAAAGTGACGCTAAATCATTTTTCACGTAATAGCTAGCGCCTGCGTGTGAAACTAGATGCTTTGTTTGTCTCCCCATCGAAAGTCAAATGTGAGGTCGTGTGTGACGTCAGCTGGTGCCTAATTGACTTGTAAATAAATCGGTGAGCGATTGTTGCTGACAGTTTGCAAACTGTCGGATACTCTTGTGACAACAGACCTGATTCCAATCTTATTAATTTATTTTCAGATTGCTATTATGCATAAGGACCATAGTTTATCTTAGCCTATATCAGTCAAATTTTCAACTGTGTTGGGCCATTGAAAGCCATGTACATTTCAAACACAAACTCTTAAAAACGTCTTTTTGAGGTCTGCATTGCGTGCTGAACGTCTGAAAACAAAAAAAGACGTCGTAAATTTTACATCTTAGAGTCAACTGAGTCACACTTTTTGGTACAACCTGGCGTTTATGTAATATTAATGAGACATTCAAAGACGTCTTTAAGATATCTCGTTGAAGACGTCTTTAGAATGTCTTGGGAAAATGTCATAATACTTTTTAGGCAGACGTTGAGTTTTATGACATACGACGTCTTTAAGATGTCTTCGAGATACCTTGAACACGTAGGCGGCGTCTATGGAACGCCTTCAATGTCGTTTGTGAACATTTTAGGGACGTTCTGTACAACAAACATTCTGGGAATCTCCAGAAACATTCCGAAAACCGTCATCAGAATCTTAGGATTCAGATTAAAAGTTAAAAAACGCTTTTTAGAAAGCGTTCAAGACCGAACTTAAATTGCTGTAGGACTTTAATCCTTTAATAAGTATCCAAAACAGTTCAAATCTGAATCAGAATTTGCAGGGGCATTTGGGAACAATTTAGAAACTTCACAGTTATTTCAGAGCAATTAGGATTCAATTTAGAACTGGAAACCTTGAACCTAGCACTTCTGAGGTGCTTTCCAGTGACCCATTTGAGTTACTCCTGAGCAGCTCAGGAGTGCTCCACAATTGCTTTACGCGTTCCAGTGCTTAGAGTATCGTACACTTGAACTACTCATTTCTGTTATCCCCTGCCCCCTCGTGCATCTACCTTTATTTCGGTGTTCCATGCTCCTGAAGCCTGAAGTACGAAATGGTGGGGGTTAAGACGAGAGCGTTCCAGTGCTGTTTATGTCGAACAGTTCAAGAGCGTCACACTCCAGGAGCATGATACTCTTACAATTTAGGCACTGGAAAGCAGCTCTGGTGGCTGCCTACGTTAGAATGTTAATGCTCACCTGACGTCACACCTGTTTTTGCCATAAGCATTCTCATACGAAAAGTGTCAGATTAAAAAAGACAGACCATAATAATATTAATGAAATATTAGTCCTGAAAGACGCTGGGTTTTGTAACATACAAAGTTTTCAAGATGTCTTTAAGACGTAAGCAGATGACTTCAAGATGTCTCTAGCTGTGTTGTCTGGAAATCGGCTATTTTGCTTTCCTTGTTCTATTTGTTGTCTTTCATCTTGTATTTATACCAATTCTTCTTCTGGTATATTATCTTCATGTTAATCTTCTATAATCACTCTGTATTTACTGTATTCCTTTTACCCGTTGAGTTACTCGGAGCTTCCCAATGCCACAAGCATGAACGTTCCTTTTAAAAGTGCGTTAAGCACTCGAGTCGCTCATAGTGCATCCCCCTTTCCCCTGATGCACCAAATTTGCGGGGGGTGCAAGAAGCCCTTTCAGGTGATGACGATAATGTTAATATTAAAAAATAATGATAAAATCTGAATTGTGTGTTTTGGAGTGACTCCGAGGAGCTCGTTCGGTGTAACTCGATCTATAAAAAGAATACAGTAATTATTGCTCGTCTTTACTTTTTCAGTTTTGTAAATATGTATGTAGTACTTGTAGTAGGTATATGCATTCCTTTCAAAAATCACATCTCTTTGCTATTATTATTTTCTGTCTTTCAGTGTCTCATAATGAATAACCCTCTGTTATCAAACTTACCTATAAATTGTTTCAGAATATGATAACATAATCGTAATATAAAACAATGTTGTAACATCACAAACATGTTTACACGAATACCTAGATGTCAATAATAATTATTATTCCATAAATCAATTCCTGTTGAGTAAAGAAACTCTCACCAATCTGGCAACACGGCGACAACGTGTGTAATGAACGCATTGTTGCCACAATTCTTATGGGGTTGCAATTCAGCAGGTGTAAGGAAGAAGGGGCGGCAAATATCGGAACTCATAATTAAATGTTAGTCTTCCATACGGGGGACCGTCGTAAATTTGCGTCAACAGCGGTTTTTATGGCTTTGTTCCTGTGTTATTATTTCGACGGAGTGCTATTTTGACGACGGCTTTTATATTCCGTTGCGAAGCGATAGAGAGAATTGTCGGTAGACGTATTTATTTTAATTATTGTTTGTAGAATCACTAGGTAACTTGTTTAAAATGTGAATGATTTTGATTACAATGTGTGGACAGGAATAAGAAAGAGTAAGAAAAGAGAGCAAAAAAGGAAAAAGAAGCAAAGCGTCTAAATTAAAGCAGATGAATTGATGTAGGGATCTGCAAGAAAGATTTTATGTAGAACACTTTTTTCAACAAGAACAAGTTCCTTGCAGATTCCCATTGACATGCCAACTTTACATGAAAATCTTTGATTTTAGGTAGGCACCTTCCTTTTTGATAAACCTAAAAAACTTTGTATAAACACAAATACAAAAAAATATATACCTAATATTACAATTTTCATTATCATAATTATTGTCATTCCACCGAAATTCCTCGTGTTCGGTTTGGCAACAGGGCTTGTATAAAAGCGCGCGCCCCGCATGTCTCTTGTCTTCGCGCGAGGCCGGTTTCTCGATGGAATCATTGGAATCTCGACCTCAGTCTCGACATCCGATTCGTTGCAACAACCGACGTTTCGGACCGCCGCACGTCATCCGTCGCCGGAGATCGTCGTCGCGACGGCCGTCCGAATAATGTAAACATTGTCCGATTTTTACGAAAGTTTTTCGAGTTGCAAATAAGATTTTTGTTTTGGTGGATTTTTTTGAAAGTTTGCGTTGATGATTTTTGAATGGATTGTTTACATTTTTGAGGAGTTAAGCTGGTAAAGTTTTACGAATCCAAGAATTTGATTGCTTCATGAAATGCTGAATTAGATCAGAAACCAAAAACAGTTTCCAAGAATCCACAAAGAAAGAAAAACAATTATAATAAAAATTTATCCATATTCAGCATTTATGGAGCATGAGTAATTTTATATCAACGATTTTCATTGTACCTATTCCTAGCATTGTGACAATGTCATGGTTATAACAATGAATCTGAACATAACAATAAATTGCGAGTTACAAATTATTACTGATTTATAGATAATAATTTTACAGGTGCATTTACACAGTCATTTGTCTACATTGATTTAAAGTTATTGCTCATTTCTATAGAAAACAATGAATTTAAAACAAAAATTTTTTTTATTTTTTTCCTAGGAAAATACACACACCGGCAAAATTAGGGGAATAGACAAACTTTACACTAGGTTTTACATTAATTTTCTCTTGAACCCTCCACTCAATTTCGATGAATTTTTCACAGATTGTAGCTTGATTCTTCAGGAATACATCTGACGTACCTATTACCGTTATTAAATGATTCGTCTTTATATCATATACCAGGGATGGAATGATGGAAAGAAAGTCAGCTATTACCTATCAGAGTTTTGGAGACACCCTGTGAAGTGAACCACTGGAAATTCAGAACAGTTTTCAACACCAAATTGTAGCCTGCGAACATTTTAATTTTTTATTCACTCTGATATTTCCAATAATTATTATTTAAAATACAGAGTTTCGAAGAAAAGGTGGATATTGACCTTAATTTTGTCCACCTCGACATGACATACGAATTGGATATGAAAATGTGTCGTTTTCCAACTTCAAGTCGTATGTGTGAATGTTTACTTCAAGTTAAATATTGCTCGCAGTTTACCTCTTACCGATCAATTTATTGTGAAAAGAATGCTCACTGCTCATAAATATACAAGGAAATCAGAAAGTCCCTTATTTTATGATTTTCATTTGGTGGAATGTTATTTATCTAAACTCTCCCTTCGCACTTAACCAAGGCTCAGGAGTTCCTTCAACATACCTCGCCACATCTATAGGATATTGACGAATTTATTATTATTTGTTCAAGTAAAATCACGAATTTTCAGTCAGATCAGGCTACAATTTAGCATTGAAAACTGCTCTGAATTTCTAATGGTTCACTCCATAGGGTGACTCAAAAACTTTGAAAACTACTGACTTTTCTATCCCTGTATATGATATAAAGACGAATCGTTTAATAACAGTAATACGTCAGATGTATTCCTGAAGAATTAAGCTACAATCTGTGAAAAATTCATCGAAATCGAGCGGAAGGTTCAAGAGAAAATTGATGTCAAACTTAGTGTAAATTTTTTCCGTTCTCCTAATTTTGCCGGTGTGTGCATAAAGTAGAAGTGTAGAAGTTCTAGTTCCACTTCTAAAGAGGAATAAGTTGAACCAAGGCATTGAAAAGTCAAAAAAGTGGGAAAAACATCGAAAAGTATCTCTAATAACAGAAAAACGTTTGAAAAAACGTATCCGATTGGACGTCCGAACGTTTTAAAAATGTCAATTAAAATACCTGAGAACTTCCAATTGAAGTTTTTTCTAGTGCAAATGTCACAACTTCAAACGTCATAACGAAGTTGAAAACGGACGGCCCTAATTAGCACCTAATTCTAATACAAAAGAAAATTTTGGAAAAATATTTTTAACTATAGGGGACTACTAGCTTTCATAAACTTAGCAATCCCTTGGTTTTTTTTTTGATTTTCTCAAAAACTAGAGGAGCACCTAATTTTTAATTAGAGGCCCTAATTAGCACCTAAAAAGCACCTAATTATTATATAGATCCCGAAGTTTTTTTGCCATTCTGACACACCAACAAATAAACGTAAAGCCGGTAGTCCCCTAATTAAAAAAAAAATCTGTAACTCAGTTAATAATTAATCAATTCTATTTTTTCTTGGACTATTAGGAGCACCTAAGAAGTACCTAATTCTGATACAAAAAAAAAAATTCAAAAAATATTTTTTACTATAGGGGACTGCTAGCTTTTATAAACCTAGCAGTCTCTTAGTTTTTTTTGATTTTCTCAAAAACTAGAGGAGCACCTAATTTTTAATTAGAGGCCCTAATTAGCACCTTAAAAGCACCTAGTTATTATATAGTTCCCGAAGTTTTTTTCCACCTTGGGACTGCTAGGTTTATAGACCTGTTGCCCTACTGTTTCTTTAAAAGAATGGTTATTTTTCTCTTATAAATGTTTTTTTTTTTTTCAATATTTTTTGTAGTGCTTTTTGGTGTAAAAGGACTCCCAATCAGTTGAAATAATCTTGAAAGCCCTAGAGAAAATGTAACTAACCAAAAGAATATATTTTTTATGCGTGCGGAAAACACAAGGGAAAACACTTTCTAGGGATGTTGTCATGACATGAAAAATTCTGGAGGGGGGGGGGGCACTCGCCCCCAGTGCCCCCCCCCTGGATCCGCCACTGAATAAGGCTTCTTGCTCTTCCGGGCATACTCTGGATCAGTTGCGGTTCAACAAATTTTGTAGTAAATTCGTCCAAATTTGTCTGACAGCTTTCCCGAACTGGCCCAGTGTTTGCACAGGCTCCTCCAAGGTATTCAATTGCCCAGACATGTTCTATACAGTTCATGTCTGGTGACCGTGCAGGCCATTCCATTCTCTCAATACCGTGAAGTTCCACACCAAGATACGCCCGTCGGAGTTACTTAGACGGAATCTGGATTCATCCGTAAATAAAAAAGTTCTCCATTGGTTGATAGTGCAGTTCTGGTGTTCCCCTGCTGTCTTGCTACCCTATGGTTCCGGTTTAGCTGTGGATATGGAGCACGCCTTCTTGCCCTCAAACCAGCCATGTGCAACCTCCTTCTGTCTGTTCGGTTCGAAATTATTGTTCCAGTGGCGTTACGCAATGACCTATTGATGCGAGAAACACAGTAGGTTGGGTTTCGCCTTGCATTAATTCGCAGATATCGGTCCTGGGCAGGGGTCGTACTTGGTTCTGGTCCTCCCAAATGAACATATGCGGCAGTAACATTCGTCAAATAGCGATTCCAGGCGCGACTCACAACACTTTGTGTAAATCCCAAACGTTGAGCCACTTCGCGTTGTGTTAGCGCTTTGTTGATATACCGTATAATTTGTTGCATGTGGACGAGCAACGTGTTTATTTTCACTTGATTTCGTTTGGTTTATTATCGTAAATAATGTAAATAATAAACCGTTTTAAGAATTCCTGCCTAAGTATTTATCAAAAATCTTTTTTTGAAATCAGCTTTGGTAAATGCTATACGTATAGATTTTCTTGTGCCAGTGTTGTGATGATCAGGTGTCAGTGTTGTGATAAATTTAAAAAAATCATCTCTTGTAAAGCAACGCTTATCAGTGTAGATAGAATAGATTGTACAAAATTTGGATATCTTTGGATTTTGGGAGGAGCCATTCACAAAAATGAACGAAGTGATAATATCTAACTTGTCGGGGAACGGATCGAGTGCTTATTCCAGGCCCGGGGGCGGTATTCTGTAACGGAAAGAGATCGTTATCCTTATCGCTATGGCACTTGCTGTGTTCTTCTCTTTTTTCGAAATCAATAGAGAGCGGACGTCAATAGAGAGAAAATATCTCTAGTCGTTACAGAATCCCAGCCCAGAGATATCTTCCACTATCGCTGTTCTTTATCGGCAGGTAACATTTGTCTTGCAGATCCCCGATTAACATTTTGCACACTCACACTTCCCGTATCACGCAATCTTTGCAAAACGGACACCAATGTTCTTTCATTAGGTGCCGTCCTATTAGGAAATCTTTTCCTATAAAATCTGGTGGCTCATGGGCGTTTGCATCGACAATTTTAAGAGATGTTTAAGGATAATCAACGCTGTGACATTTTTACATGTTAAAATGTCACTTTGAGCGTTGATTATCGTTAAACCTCCCTTAAAATGGTTGGTGCAAAGAGCTATAAATGAGCCAAATACTCGTTAAAAAATGTCAAGGCTTTAAAGGTCTTTTTCTTGAAAATGGTTGAGTTTAGACCGCCTATTGTATGGGTAAACTTTTTTTTTGTTAAAAATGGGTCATGTGTATGTATGTGTATGTGTGTGTTGGAGGTGTCAGTTGCACCGTGACCAAGGTTAATCTATTGTACCCCTATTTCTGCTGCTAAGTTTGGGTTTCCTGCTCAAAGCAGCCCCTCCAGTCCTAGGTCCTTCAGGAATTTTGAGAATATCTAGTGGTTCCAGGGCTGGAATGTCTTTCAACTATATAAGGGCACTTCCCAAGTTCAGTTCCGCAGTTCAGTAAAAGATGGTGAGGTGTCTCTTCTCCCGTCTTCATAGAATCTGCAGGTGCCACCTTCTTCTAACTTCAACTTCTGTAGGTGTTTCTTCAGTCTCCAATGTCCCGAGAGAAACCCGGTTAGAGTCTTGAGACTTTTCTTGCTAAGGTTGACCAGCAGTTCTGATCTTTTTTGGTTGAAGTTGCCAACAGATCTTTGCCTATCGTTGTCCTGGCTGTTCTAGCCATTGTTTGTTCCTTACACGGTTCTCTTTTGCGCATTTCCGACGCCGCAAAATGGCTCTGGCCCAGTGAAGGGAGTAGATGCTCCCGTTCTTGCGAGTCAGTCTGCGCATTCGTTGTCCTTGACACCTAGAGGAGGGTTACATTATTTTGTTTTCCAGCTCATTTAGTTTCTGTAGACATTTCCATACTGTCTTGAAATTGATGACTGGAGATCTAAATGCTTTGATAGCTGCTTGGCTGTCAGACATTATTAGGTACAATCTCTCGTTTTCGATAGCTTCTGTTCAGGTTGAACTGCACGCATCTTCCGATCCTATGAAGTTCCGCTTGGTGATTTCCCCATTGGTTCCGAGTACCTGATCTGTGGCCCAACTACTTCAGCTCCAGTTCCCTCGGCAGTTTTGGAACCGCCTGTGTATCACTTGATGGTGTTTGCTCCAAGGGATTGCATAGATTCCATGTTCC